TCACACAACCTTTGTCTGTCTGGTCTGTTTTTCTTTGGGGTAGGCTGATCTCTAGTGTAAACCACAAACATTTGTAGCCTAGAACAAATGTTTTGGAAGTGTCCTGACTAACTTTTACAAAGGCTTTAGCTCCCTTGAGTTAATTAGCAATCAGTTAACTCAAAGGGTGTAGGCATCTCCTGTGCCTCCCACAATGGGACCTTAATCTTGATAATACATAATACAAATACATCACAGATCCAGGTTTGTGTTCCCCATAGATATCCCAGATTACAGTTTCCTACATAAACATTAAAGACTGGTTTAATTAATCCTAGACCAGTGTGTCTTGCTTTGTCATTAACATAATTCTCTTTGTTCTCATTTGAGATTCACCATCTTTATATGTATTTTTGCCTTGTGCGGAGACACACACAGGGTAACAGAGTGCTCGGATCCCACGGTAACAAGCATGTCAGAAATGCCTGACCAGATACAGTGGAACTTTGTAAAGAGTGAAATTCATGCCTGTGCAAAAGGCAAACACAATTTAGGCCTGAGAATCACTCAACAAGGGCCTAGGTCAGGGGTAGGCAACCTATGGCACGGATGCCGAAGGCGGCACTCGAGCTGATTTTCAGTGGCACTCACACTGCCCAGGTCCTGGCCACCGGTCCGGGGGGCTCTGCATTTTAATTTAATTTTTAATGAAGCTTCTTAAACATTTAAAAAACCTTATTTACTTTACATACAACAACAGTTTAGTTATATATTATAGACTTATAGCAAGAGACCTTCTAAAAATGTTAAAATGTATTACTGGCACGTGAAACCTTAAATGAGAGTGAATAAATGAAGACTCGGCACACCACTTCTGAAAGGTTGCCGACCCCTGGCCTAGGTCATACACAAGCCTTGGTTTAGCTTCTGTGCAGGAGTGAATTTCACCTGGACTCCAAAGCCATTCACTCCCTCACCCAAAATAACTTCACTGTAAGCAGAGGGGCATCGGATCTAGGGTTGCAATTAGTATATTGCGATGCACTGACAAATGAGGACTTTTGTTCTACTTCAAGTACTCCTGTTCTTTTTGCGGATACAGACTAACACGGCTGCTACTCTGAAACTCACCTTCTCCATGTGCTCTCCAAATGAGTCCCCTTGTATATAAAAATACTCATGTCCTGGAAATGTTCAGATTCTGTAACCATAAGCTGCAGGCTGTTATTGCAATGGGCGTGGGAGAGTCAAAACTGTCTTTATAAGTGGGTGTGGACATTTCTCCAGCCATGGCCTTACAGACTGGGTGTGTTTTTCTTGACTGAAACCGAGCCAGCGTTAGCAGCCAAACATTAAACCAAACACATCCATAGTAGGTGGCTGCAGAGTCCACGATCAGGTTTTTCTTGCAGGGACTTAGGTATTGCTGCAAGTCCTAGTTTTATAGAGATTGTAGCCAGTCCCTGGCTCAGAACGCTGAAGCTGAAATCATATTGGAGTCAGACCTCAGTCTCTCCTCTTCTCCATAAGACTCGTCTTTCTCTTCTTGCATCCTTTTTTTGTATTCTCCCAACTTGCATCAAGTTGTAATAGCCATCACCATCGCATGTAGCTGGACAAAGAATACATTATACAGTGGGCCAATATCATCCCTGGTGTAACTCCACTGATACCTTCAGATCAGAGTATCGATCTCTCCTCGGTATTCATTTTACATTGTCTGCACATTTAGGCTCTCCCTCTGCTGTAGAAACTAGGGTCATAATGGCCTAGGTTGTTACACAGTAAAACACCTTGCAGCATTGATGAGATGGAACCCAGCCATGTTGCTGATCCATACTGCAGCCTTGCACTTAGCAGGGATACATCATGGATTAGACATGTATCTTCGCATACAGTTTAGGCCTCTCATATTGCACCACCTTACCATTGCTGACCATGTTGAACTGCGTTCCCCCAGCACAGCAGTTTCTAGTGTAGACATGACTTCAGTATCTGAGAGAGTGAATTTATATGAAGATGATGCTGAGCTTCAGTCCTCAGCAAGTGTGAATATGAATTCAAGCAGTTTCCAAATGGTGTCCCAGTTTCTATTTATTACATAGGTGTTTTTTTTCTCTTGGGGAAGGGCCATTAAGTTTGCCTACAATTCTGAACTTTCAGAAAGTTTGCCTTTTTTTATATACAGGGTTTTAGTTCAGCTTGTAGCAATACAGCCCAGCTGCAAAGTTTGCCTCTGAGCTGGGATGTTCATCTCTAATTTTGTCTCAGTTGTAGATGCTGAAAGTGTTGGCTTCTTTCTACAAGAGACATTTAAAGACTTAAGACTTCTGGAAGGACAGGGACTGAGAGAGAATTTCCAGCATAGAGCAGTTTCCAAATGTAATTTCTCTCTTGATCCAGTTTGATTAAAATAGTGTCGATTGTTTGATGATGTTATCCTCTGCCTGGAGGAACAAATGGACATTCACTTGTTTTTTAAACACTGAGTGTCACAGTTGTAGCCAACTGCACCTTTATTTCCCCTCAGAGGTCCAGCAAAGGGCCCAGTATTGGAAGATAGGATTCTAGGCTAGATGAAGCATTGGTCTGACAAAGTATGGCCTTAATTATGTCCTTAAGAGCATCACCCACTGTAGGCTTCCGGTTTCCCAGCCATTGGGTGGAGGCCTGTGTCTCTCTCCCTTCTGACCAGGGTATTTCCAGGTTGAACAAGTCCCTGCCGTCACTGTGTAATTCCCAGCAAAAGACAATCTGCCTAAGCGGGCCTGCTTCTCCTCTCCCCTCAGAGAGGGTACACAGGATAATTGCCCCAGTTATAAGTTACCACACAGTTCTTTCCAAGCAAGTCTATTTAATTCTTAAGATAAAAGTACTACAGAGAAAACATATTAGAAACAATAAAAGAACCTACATGCATGCGAATAAGCTTAGTAGAGATCATCCCTCTCCAACAAGGGCTCTGGCAGGAGCAGCCCTTCAAAATGTCCCTCTTCCCCCACAGGGATTTCCCCTGTGTTTTCAAGTTCATCACACTTTTTGCTCAAAATGAGAACCCAGTCTTAAGGGGCCTTCATAGGCCAAAGTCTTTCCAACCCTTCCCTAAGGATTGGGGCCCTCTGTCGACCAGAGGACCTGGCTGCATAAGAACAAAAGCCCTGCGTCAATTCCCCACCAGGTTCTTTATCCCAGCATCCTTTCTTTGTCTGCTAGCCTCTAGAGAATCCAGTTTGAACCTTTGAAGAGATGTTGAATTAGGTAATCAGCCAGACAATGGGCCCACTCCCCAGGGTGAAGCTTCAAAGAGCTGATCAGTGGAGGAAGTTCATTAGCATAACCCTCCTCCTCCCAGCGAGGTAGCATACAGTCTCACCATAACGCATGAACAATTGCATTTTTAATACAATGGACCCCAAAATACTTCAGCTTAATTCAATGAGGTTTGTCTAGGATATTGCTGGGAAATTGCCATCTGTCAACACTGAACTTCAAGGATTTCTTGCAGGAGTTTCTTTTGACAAAGCTGGAATCAGTCTCTATCATTACAATGCTGACTGCTTGATGCTGCCCAGGACCTCGTTTGGTGACTTTGCGGCTTTATTTCTCTCTCTGAATAAGCAGAGCCCTAGAAAAGGGGGAAACCCAGAGAGTTTTGGATTCCGGGCAGCCTTTCTGACACACAAAATAAATCTCAAGGTACTCTGCTTCTGCAGCTCACTGGTGCAGCAGCAGCAGTTCGACTGCATTGTGCTGAGGTCAGAGCTGGAAGCATTGTCCTTCTAAGCCTTTTTTAGAAGTATCCACAAAGATTAACCCTCAGGCTGAAATTTTTTCTTGCGTGGTCTAAACCCAAAGAAAATATTTTCCCCAGGAAGATCAGCAACAGTCAGTTTGGGGTGGGGGAGGGAGTATGGAGAGGAAAATGGGGGCTTCATTCATACTTTAAACAAATATTTGGCTGCTTTTTTGCACCCTAGGACACTTCTGATTTCAGTGGAAAATGAAGAGACTCTGCACCTCCCATAACTCAAGAACCAGGGTCTTCGCACAACACAAGAACCAGGGTCTTCACACAACACAAGAACCAGGGGTTACCCAGTGAAATTACTGGGCAGCAGGTTTTAAATAAACAACAGGAAATACTTCTTCACATAATGCACAATCAACCTGTGGAACTTGTTGCCGGGGATGTTGA